AATCACACAATACAAATAAGATGCAACCCCTCTCTTGTACTCACTTTGTTGTAACAAGGCCTTCTCCCGTTCAGTCCTCTCACTCTTTTTCCATTCCGCTTGCCTTCTCAGCCACTTCTCCTCCATTTCATCAGAAATACTATCCTAAAGAGAGAGAAAATGATTTATTTATTTTTAATGTAGGTGCCAATTTAAAGGGGAGTCCTGACGTCCGGGCAGCCCAGGACTTCCATAAACACTGGCGAGGCTTGCGTGCCAGAGAGGTCACTTTGGTGGTGCTAACGCAGTGGTTCGACTTCACCCCTGGAAGCGTACTCCATTGTCTCTCGGGACAGACGGATGCCAACAACCAGATGGCAATTTTATACCCTCTTTTGCCTGCAAGTCTTCAAAGTACTTCAGGGGAACACTGGTTATGAATCAGAAAACGGGGAAGGGGTGGCAACTATGCAAGAGCGTCTGAGGCAGCCTGATCATCCTTCCTTTTCTGTATGGGGTTCAGAAGACTCCAGGCGTTGCAGACTAACCTGGGGAGAAAACAGCAAAGACCTGGTGAAGAGAGCACAGCTGAGGTTATATTTTCTGAGAATCCTCCAGAAAAACAATCTCTCAAAGGACCTGTTGATGGCATTTTACCATTGCACTGTGGAGAGCGTACTAACTTATGGTCTGTGTGTGTGGTTTGGGAGCCGCACGGCCAGGGAAAAAACAATACTGTCCAGGTTTGTGAAGACTGCAGAGAGAATAATTGGGTGCACTCTTCCCACCTTAGATCAAATCTATGCTGCCAGGTGCCATAAGAAAGCTGCAGAGATAGCGCAGGATAGTACGCACCCCGGAAATGATCTCTTTCAGCTTCTGCCTTCTGGAAGAAGGTATAGGATTATAAAGGCCAGGACTAGCCGCCTGAGAAACAGTTTCTACGCAAATGCAATTCTGGTTCTAAACGCAGCATAAGGAGTCTCTATAGTATAAAAAGGTAAAGGTAAAGGTGCCCCTGCCCGTATGGGCCAGTCGTGTCCGACTCTAGGGTTGTGCGCTCATCTCTGTTAAGAGGCGGGGAGCCAACGCTGTCTGGAGACACTTCCAGGTCACGTGGTGTAATGGTTCTAGGGGTTGCTCGTGCGTAAGCCGGTGCAAACACCTGGCTGGATTGCCTGAGTGAACCTTTTCTGTCCGGACAGCCACTCACCCATGGCTGTCTCAATCACTGGCAGAATCCGTCAGTGGGCGTTTCTTAAACTTCTTCCAGCAAAGAAGCTCTTTGACGCCTAGTCTCCGCCTACTCTCTCTGTGCCTTCTGCGCAAGGAGGGCGTAGGCAGCGGAGGACCTCTACTCTCCCCGCTGGTCCCCGGCAAGGAGTCATGGGACCGCCTCACCGCTTCCCCCATCTGCCCCCCTTCTCCACTGGTGCTACGCTGATTCTCTTCCCCAGAAGATGGGCTGCCTCTCCCAATCCCGGGACGCTCTCCGGAATCCCTCTGGATTTTGCTCTCTCCCTCCAGCACTGATGGCAGTTCCCTGACACGTGGCAAGCGTGGCGAAGCTACTCTGGCGAGCCAGCACCAGCGCAGCACACGGAAACGCCGTTTACCTTCCCGCTATAAAGCGGTACCTATTTATCTACTTGCACTTAAGGGTGCTTTCGAACTGCTAGGTGGGCAGGAGCTGGGACCGAACGACGGGAGCTCACCCCGCCGCAGGGATTCGAACCGCCGACCATGCGATCGGCAAATCCTAGGCGCTGAGGTTTTACCCACAGTGCCACCCGCGTCTATAGTATACTGTATTTTAAAATGGGGTTTCAGAGTTTTTAGGGATTTTTGAATGTTTTATGTAGTTTTTCAGTTTCATTGTTCTGTATGGGACAATGACAATAAAGATATTGTATCGTATCGTATCGTAATTTTGCCACTTCTGGATTCCCTGTCATTGCTGAGGTAGCCAGTCCGTTGGGCTGGGACTGCAGCAACACTAGCTCTGGCCGTAGACCAAGCAGCCATGAAATGCAAGATGTCTGTGACAACTGGACCGCAGTCTTTCATGAGCACCGCAAACTCTTAGGCAACAAACAATCTGTTGGTCTTTAAGGCTTATAGGAGACTCGTAGGAGTTTAGGATTACCTCAGACGGGAGATATAATTTAAATCTTACCTGGTACACACGGAACGCATTCTTCAGATACTTGTATTCCTTCTGCATCCCAGCTAAGGGGGGGAAAGGGGAAAATAAAATGCTCCACACATGGAACTACCGAAATTAAACAGTTGTTTCTCAGTTGTTTTCCTGAAGGGAAATGAATTGGCTGCTCGGCCAACAACAATCCTTCCCCAGAAATTAACAGCGCCTTAGAAATACAATTGTCATGTCTGGCTGCTCACAGTCAAAGGCTTCTTCCCACCACACTCTTTGAAGAGAAGAGCAAGACCCCCAGAGGGACCAGTGATGTTCTGCCACCCTCAGAGGGAATTGCACAGCAAAAACATGGCTGCCCCCAGTGTCCACTTCTAACCGTGGGGGCATTATAGCTTGCTGCTTTGAGGCTTCTAGCATTAACAGACAAGGACCTGTATGTCTTGTCCCTTGTTTTTTTAATTGGGTTTTATAAACAAGAATAATGTTATACAAACAAGTATACCAAGTTTTCTCATGTCATTTGTATATCACAAAAATAGCATAATAAATGTGGAAAAATATGTACAACATGTTTCATTATTAGTGGTCAATGTACGAGTTCTTGGTTTATGAATTGGTTTAACCATTTGGAGGAGGAAGAAGAAGAAGAAGAAGGGGAGTGGGGTGGTTATGCTTCATTTATTCTACTTAGTGTGTGTGAGGGGTTGTGTCAGTGTTACTTGTGTGGGTTCTCTTACTATTCACTTGTTGTATTTCCTTGGTGGTGAGAGAGGTTGGGGGTGGCTTAGGGTGTGTTTGGTTGTCTTTGGTTGGCTGTGGTGAGAACTGTTTTTGTGTGTGAGTGGGGTGTGAGTGTGTATTTTTGAAGCAGGTTAGTCAGATTGATTCGTATGCTGTCGGGGATCTTGTCCCTTGTTATAGGTCTTGTTGACCCACAATTTTTATCATAATATCTTTGATTGGTTCTGCATTCTTATTATCAACTCCTATCCTATCCTCTGTTTGAAGGCACAGGACATTCAGATCCTTCCTGCTTAACAGATAGATGATCCCAAATCAGATGTTCCTCAGCTCCTGACTGCTTTGTCTGCTGAGATAAGGCATGTCCAAAGTCCATTTTGGGGGCCTAATCTGGCCCACCGGTCAATTTAATCTGGCCCCCTGTGGCAGTATATGTCCTGGGATAAAATCCTAAAAAAGCTCAACAACTTTGGGGTAAAATTGTAAAAAACACCTCAACAATTTAGCTTAACAGCTTCAATCCTAACAACTTTGCTCGCCCCTCATGTATGTCCACTTCATCAAATCTGGCCCTCTTTGAAAAAAGTTTGGGCACCCCTGGCTGAGATGTTTTAAAAAGCTGCTCTGTGGCCTTCTTGATTTTACAAAGGCAGCGAAGAGGAAGAGGCATTGTTGTCATTGTCAGGCAACCAGGGGTCTCATTGTCGGGCTCCCTGCAGGCCTGGAACTGCCACTCATCCCAGTTGTTGTGAGCCTGCCACCCTGAGGCAATTGCCTTAGTGAGCCTCATAGATGGGCTGGTCTTGACTGGTTGTACCGTATTTTTCGCTCCATAAGACGCACTTTTTTCCTCCTATAAAGTAAGGGGAAATGTGAGTGCGTCTTATGGAGTGAATGGCACCGCGCAGAGAGGTAGAGCTGCGCAGCGCCCCTTCAGCAAAGCGGGAGGAGGAACGGAGCCCCTTCTGTTCCTTCTCCCGCTGCTGAAGGTGCTGCGCAGCTCTCCATCTGCGCAGCGCCTCCTTCTCAGGAGAGGCGCTGCGCAGAGAGAGAGAACTGCGCAGCACCCCTTCAGCCACGCGCCTGCCTGGAAGCCGGAGGAGGAACAGAAGGGTCTCCTTCTGTACCTTCTCCAGCTTTGCTTGAAGGGGCGCTGCACAGTTCTCCCTCTCTGCGCAGCACCTCTCCTGAGAAGAAGAGGTGCTGCGCAGAGAGAGAGAACTGCGCAGCGCCCCTTCAGCGACGCGCCTGCCATGGCTTCTGCCTTAGCCTCTTCCGGGCAGGGGGAGCCTTCATCCCGCTGCCCTGAAGAGGCTTGGCCCGGTTATTCCAGAAGCCAGAACAGCCACACAGTATCCCAGAAGCCAGATCCCTCTTGCTGTTCTGGCTTCTGGGATTCAAAATATTTTTTTTCTTGTTTTCCTCCCCCCCAAACTATCATCTTATCATCTGGTGTGTCCTATAGAGCGAAAAATACGGTAAATAAGAAGGGAGGTAGCTGCGGGGCTAGCTAAGGCTGAGGACTAGCTAAGGTCGGACCAGCCTCCACTGCAACTAGGACAGCCAGAATACTACTGTACAGTGTAACAGGTAGTTCGGCCCCCGAGTCCTACCCAGCTTCTCCTGGGCGTGCGCCCTCTCGTTTCGCAGCTCTTTCTTGTACTGCTCTTCCAAGGCGTTCATCTCTGCTGCATGGTGTGACTGCATCTCCCTGCAAAGACAACGTAGCTTTCGATTAGCATTACCCAGCAAGCTGCTTTGATTAAAAGACAACAACAATGGAATGCTATTTGTGCACATCCTTCTCTTGCCGCAATGGAACTTCACTGCCTCTACTCTCTTGCTACAGCCCTCTGTGCAGTGTCCAAATCTGCTCCAGGGGGTTGGAGGACCCTCTGAAGTAGATCGGGGATAGGGGAAGAGAGGATCTTCTCAGGTAACTGTGGATTCTGCCTGATATCAATCATGTACTACTAGTACCACTATTTATTATTTGGGTGGGTGTGTTATTATTCAGTTCTAAACTGATTTGAGAATACCGCCACTTATTCTTATTAAAAATATCTTTTTTTAAATATATATTACAGCTGTACAGTGGTACCTCGGGTTAAGTACTTAATTCGTTCCGGAGGTCCGTTCTTAACCTGAAACCGTTCTTAACCTGAAGCACCACTTTAGCTAATGGGGCCTCCCGCTGCTGCCACTGCGCGATTTCTGTTCTCATCCTGAAGCAAAGTTCTTAAGCTGAGGCACTATTTCTGGGTTAGCAGAGTCTGTAACCTGAAGCATATGTAACCTGAAGCATATGTAACCCTAGGTACCACTGTACTG